CTCTTTCCCAGTCAATGTAAAGCCCCAGACACAATGCGAGGGAATAGCGATAGCGATAGAAATTACACAATTTAAACCTATCAGAAATTGTGTAATTTGGTATATCCGATTTCTGATAAGTTATTTTTATCGCTATCACTATTCTCTCACATTGTGTCTGAGGCTTTACATGCAGTTAGCAACAGCATTATTCGAGCAATATATAGAATATACTAGGGTTGGCAAGTAACGCGTTCTTTGTAATGTCGTTACCGTTACAAGTTACTTTTTTTGATAACGATTGGGTAATGACGTTACATTTTCTTCTGAGTAACGTTCATGATAACGCATTTTTGGGGTAATGGTAACGATTTTACTAGTTATTTTTATCGTTACTCTATTTCTATTATAAAAATTTTAATTGTAACTAGAGCGTATATACATTTATCAGTTTTTAAGTTTTATTCCTCTACTAAAAAATAGAATTCTGATATCTTTTTGCAAAGATTACTTGCAGGAATTTAATTACGCATATAATGGCGTTTTTCATTGGCAGAACTAGTGCGCATTCAGTGCACTTTAAAGCCGTTGTACAATCGACGTAAAGATGTATGGTTAATAAAAATATAGAACGAGTTAAACCGCGAAATCCTCAATACATTTTATTATACTATTTGATAAAATATTCTTTAGACACTTCATCAATTGAGATATCTCATTTTTACATTTAGAGTTGTGTACAACGGCTTTAATGTGCATTGAGTGCTCACAAGTTCTACCAATGAAAACACTATAATATTCTATTAGTGTTAAGAAAAGAAAGTAACGAAAAAGTAACGACCCGTTACGTTTTGAAGAACAGTAAGGGGCTCCGCACAATAAAAGGAACAGGGAACAGAGAACAGAGAATAAGAATTTCAACCTATCAGAAACTGTGTATTCTACAATACATAATTTCTGATAGGTTGAAATTCTTATTCTCTGTTCTCTGTTCCCTGTTCCTTTTATTGTGCGGAGCCCCTAACGAGTTATTTTTATGAGGTAACGTTGCCAACCATGGAATATACATTATACGTTGGTTTTATGCTTGACCGAACCGAAAATGTGTAACATACCGATCAGTTTTAGTTTTTTCTCAAATCGACTTGATTAGCAATATAACATGTGTAAGAATTTATATTATTCCTTAGGATTTGTAAAACTTTTTATTTAATTGTTCAGACATTTAAGCGTTGCAACTAGACGAAATGTCTAACAAACAAATGGCTCTTCTGAGTAAAACTAAAATTAACAAGTTTCTAAATGTAGTTCGGCCAATGTTACAATTTATGAAAGCTTTCGTCGGTTGTCGAGTTATATTTCCACGTTACGACTTAATTTCCAGTTGACAACACCACGATCGATCAAACAGCGCTGTGTATACGTATCTTTGTCGCTAACGCGACATTACGCAAAGCAGTCTTTAATTTTCCATCTGCTTATTAATTTTTCTATTGCTTCGAATTGTCTTCATTAACAGTTTTACCGTTAATCTCAATTTCATCATAACATAATTTTTTCGCTCCGTGTGCAGTGCATTTAACGTTATGTTAAGATATTTAGGTGGCACGCGTTCAGTGTGATTGGAATTTTATAATAAGTACGACTAATCTTTTACTTTCAATCATTTGTAAAGAATGCGTCAGTAACATGAAACATTGCTATGCTTTTTGATTAGTGTCATGAAGAAAATTTGACGAAAAAACAGACTTGAGAATAATCAAAGAGTTATTTAGTAAGTATCGATTTTCTATTTTATATAAAAAATTTATCTCACCTTTTATAGTGACGTTTAGATGCTTCTAAATTCATGCTTTCATTTAACAAATATATTTTGGCACCAATTATCCCGTCTCTGTGAATGAAGAATGATGTTAATGTAGATAAATAGAATTTTATTACATTATAATTTATAACTATATAAGTAGTCACTCACTTAAAAAATTGTAATACATCGATAGTTTGAAAAGGGTATCCAAACTCTTTTTTATTATCGGCGCTGAGATCATCCAATATATTTAACAACTTTGCATTAACAAATTTCCATTGATTCAGCAAAAAATATGACAAAGCGCTGTTAGACACGTATACTTTTCTTTGTAATCTGAGCAAGCTACGAATATTGAATACATTACTAAATATTTAACTGGTATCTAGACGAAGAAACTTACGACAGGTTTTATTTTACATATTTTATAATTTAATTTTAGGAAATAAAATATAATCCACTAACAATAAACGTTTAAAAGAAATATTTCCCATTTATTTATTAATTGTTTTTCTTGGAAAATATTTTGTTCAAACATCTATTATTGCCAAAATTAAAATGCGTGTATAATCGGAAGTTTCTATTATAAAAAAATTTTTAATTATAATTTAATTGTAATAAGTTTGTATAAAAATAAAATAAATTTTTATATATTTAAATAAATCTTACATTGGGCGCACACCAAATAATTTCAAAACACCATCCAAAAAAATTGCCGGGAAAATGTGTAGTAATAACACCGATATATAATATATGTAAAAATTTTTGGTTATTGTCGTTTTTGGGTTCCAAATTAAATTTTCCAAAGGTATATCCTTTATAATGTCAATGCCTGAATGAACTATATTTTGTAAGTTCAAGGGCTTTATACCATTTCCAGAGCAGTTATAGACATCAATTGTTTTGTTCTCACTAAAGCATAAAATGTGCTATGAATTTCTATATAAATTGAATGTAATATTTCTCCTAGCATTTTAAAATGTAACACATTAAGGACTTAAGTTGTTTTATTTTATCGTAAGTGTCGCTCTTTCTCGCGCTCTCTCTCTCTCTCTCTCTCTCTCTCTCCCCTCTCTCTCTCCTCTCTCTTTTTCTTCTATCTTCTCTTACGTTTTGATTCCACGTTTCCAAGTTGCAATTATCAGAGCTTTAATGGTTGCATCAACTGGCATAAAATCAGAAACAATGTTAGGATCACACCACAACACACGCAATATGCCTTTGCCGCCACCAACTAACATTCCAACAGGCCCGTTGAAGTTGTCAATCCAGCCAACAATAGGTTCAAACGATGTTGATACAACTAAAATACAAAAAAGTAATTTGATATTTCTTAATGTCCATTCCCTACTGTATATAATTTCCTGTATAATTTTATGTTAGCTTGTTTTTTAATTATATCTTAGTTTTTATATTTAATATAATATTTAATTTGAGATATATTAATAAATTACTTTATATTTTGCATTATCTAATATACACATTATATGAAAAACTAAATATTTTGTTAAAATATTATTATATAGAGTATCTGATAATTGTATCTACTATTTTTCTTGAGCAGATAAAGCGTAAAACAAAACAAAAAATCTTTTACCATAAAAATGCATCCATATGATTTAATGACAAATAAATAGCAATGAAGAAAAGGCAGCCCAGCATTACGTGACATTACGTTGGAGTACTTGTGTGGGGAGGCATTGGGGAGGAGTATGCTTCTTACAACCGTGAATATGTAACGCTGGACTTATTCTTGTCACTGAATCGTGAGGATACATGGTCATTTGCAAATCTTTGTTAATTAATTTCTTATTAATTATTGAGAAACTCAATGATATACAACTAATTCCGATCCTTTTTTTTTACATATACACATAACATTAATCTAGAACAGAAAGTGTCAAAGATATTTTTGCATTTTTTTTTAATAAAACAACAATTATTTACATTTTTTTTACAAACCTAAAACAATTCTAACAAAAACATTAAACCAGGAAATTTGATTAACATAAAACTAAATTTATATATAAACAATGCAAGTAATGATTAAAAGCATAGGTGTATTAGCATTACATACGCACCAATCGATGGCCTGATCAGTACGCAAGGCAATGATCTGGAATAATCGCTTATCACTTGCTCAGCCAACTTTTTAGTAAAAGTATAAGTGTTTGGTATCGTTCCTAGAGTTCTGTAAATAAACGTGAACGTTTATTTTAAAAGTGACAATATGATATATCGCCCTCTATAAAGCTTACTTTGCTGTTAATATTTCAAGAACGTGTTCGTCGATGGACTCGGCAATCTTTATCATTTTTTTCCAGTCAAATTCTGAAGGATATAAAATCTCGTCCACTACGGGTTTGTCGGTTTGCGTATACGTAGAACTAACGTGCAAAAGAACCTAGAATTATACATTAAATATTGTTAATATCGAGAAGTTATTTTGAGACAGTAGACATGTTCTTAAGTAATACGCTTTGCATTTGGCAGTTTTCATATAGTCCATTCTACAATGTTAAATATGAAATTAAAATAAAATTTCTTTTTATCATAAAGAGAGAGTTTTACGGGTTGCTAACTGAATTAACAGTTAACGAATTTTGTTTTTTATCTTGTTTATACTTGTTTACCCTATTATCGTACACAATATATTTGTATACGATACTTATATGATATATTTGAATACGATACTATGTAGTATATTGTATAAAATTTTCTATGTTTTCTTTGGAGTTTAAAATTTTCAACAAAAAAATTAAATTTATGTTTGTGCATTAATATAAATTTTTATTACAATTTGTTCAAATATTTTTGCAGTTAGTTATTCAATTTTACGTATTTTTTTTACAACTTACATTGAAACATATAAGTTAACATGTGAAATTATTAATAAAGATTTTATTGTTTAAAATTACATTTACTTATGATTATTTGCACGAAACTATTATAATAAATTCGATTTAAAAAAAAATAGTAAATACTTACTATCAATTTTTTCATTTTTTGGGCTAAAATACAAATATCACGTGTCGATCTAGTATTATTGAAGACTGCTTCTTTGAGTCCTTCATCAAATCTAACGCTAGCGGCAATATGGAAAATTATGGATACTCTATCAATCAAGATTTCGCGATCACTGGCTAGCAATCCTAAATTTTCAGCAAGTACATCTCCTGTTATGGGAATGATTTTGTCAAAACTGGATGGTTTTTCGCTTCGTAGTTTGTCGAAAAGTTTGTTATCTAACATTTTTTTAAGCCTATCATTAACGCTCAGTCCCTTCTTGGTTCTTATCAATATAAATATTTCTATTATATCGGGACATGATCGCAGAAGCTTTTCTACGAGAGCTTTGCCTATGAAGCCAGTGGCACCGGTTATAAAAATACTACGACCAGCATAAAAGGCCGGAATATACATATCTGCCGCATTATTTTCCATGTTTAAATGTAACAGAAGTATAATCAATAAAATATATAAAAAATGACAAATAAACAGTAGTAAAAAAAAGAGAAAATGTGATTCAAACGTGGATAAATTTAATAAAAATTCACTTGATTTTTGTAACACAGTACGAAATCACAACACTTTGTCTTCAAGACACAGCAAACGTATGAATGAGTCTAATAAGAAATTGAATACAGGAAATGACATAGAACCTATCTAGTGATAATGATATTCGTGGAAGTTCAAAGAGCAAGATTCTCCATATTTATATATTGATCTACATATATTGTAGATCCTCCGCAAGCAAAATCGAAGGAGTAGAGAGAATAATTCAAACTGTAATGCAACGCTAACTCAAGAACTGCCGTATAATAACCGCAGTATAAAATAGACACGTTGTCATGAAGCAAATATTAATTTGTGATCTCGTGAAAATAGAATTGAGCAGTCAAGTAGAATTGAATAATTAGATTTGATTTTTAAGAATGAATTCTTTATGCATGATGAATTCGTTTCGTAAGAAAACGTTTCGTAAGAAAATCCGGATTTAAATTGATAAGTAAATTGTATAACGTATTTAGAGACGAATAATTGAGCGGAAATGATGATAGGAAAGGATGATAGGAAAGGAAATCAAGTTATTTGTATTGTATTTAAAATAATGGCATTTGATTTTTTTGCGATTCACATGGAACGTGAATATAATTACACAGTCAAAAAACTTGTGTATTTGTATTGGAAACGGTCTACTCACATTTGTGTTAACAGTTCGTGTTGAATTTTTTAACATATTCGAGTGTTAATTTAACATAATGTGATTATGTTATTTAAAGGTTTTTTGTGAAATTGATATTCAATGTTTCTTAGTGTCAAAATGACACTAATTTATGAGTAAATGAACAAGTAACATAAAAATAATGTGTTTTAAAACGTAAATTCTAAGACAAATGAATAAAATACATGTTAATTTAACATATCATAAATGTTAATTTTCTGAAAAAATATGCTTTTACAGTTTATTTACAAACTGTGTCGATATTACCTTTTTTTTTGTGTGTATTCTTTTACATATTATTTATGTAACCTTCGATATTAATTTTGTGTCAAATTAACCCAAAAATTTGAGTTGGACATGCGATTTATGTTAAATTCAACACATTTTTTCTAACTGTATACATCGTGGACAGAACGGTTGCAACACTTTTTTTCGATGAGTTTCGAAACTCATCCTTGCTTCTAGAAAGGTTAAACGTGAATGATTAGATCCATAAGTAAGAATCAATCGCTTGGTGAGCAAGTGTAAAAGAATACACACAAAAAAGATAATATCAACATTTGTAAATAAACCGTGGAAGTATATTTTTTTAACAAAATTAACATTTATATGTTAAATCAACACGTATTTTATTCATTTGTCTTAGAATTTACGTTTTAAAACACATTATTTTTATGTTACTTGTTTACTTACTTATAAATTGTGTTATTTTGATACTAATGCTTAAATTCTAAGCAGAATCGTAAGGCTCGTAACATATTCCTGTAAGATTTGTAAAAAGTTTTAAGTGCTTATACCTTTATACAATATTTTTACAGACAGCTTCTTACTAGCCATAAAATTTGTAAGAAATCGTAGATATTTACGAATAATCGTACGTCTTACGATACATATGCATAAAATTAGAATACTAGTCATAATTTCTTACAAGTTTTACGAGAATACATTACGAGTCTTACGATTCTGCTTAGAATTGACCCATAAGAAACATTGAATATATTAATTTCACAAAAAATCTTTAAATAACATAATCACATTATTTTAAATTAACATTCGAACATGTTAAAAAATTCAACTGTTAACACAAACGTGAGTGGACCGTTTCCAATACAAATACACAAATTTTTTTACTGTGTACATGTATAAAATATATGTTTTGCGCGTCATATCATGTTATCTTCAAATGTGTGCGTGCGTGTGTGTGTGTGTATGTATAAGTTATTTAGACTTTATGGAAAGTTAAAATAAATCTGAAGAAATCAAATTCTGTAAAAATATAACGGCAGAATCTATTTCATCATCGTATTTAGATAATTACATCACAACACGTCTCATTTAATTTAAACAATTTTCCTATTTTGTGAGCTTAATCATTTTAAATGTGTTTTATATTAAATTTAAATTTTAATAAATTATAGTTTTTCATATCATTGACTAAATACAACTAAAAAATTAAAAATTGAAAAGAAACGAAATGGGGGCCCACATTAATACTTTTTGCTCCATGGGTATATACATATCAGTCTTTTCCAGTGCTTATTTTGTTACGCGTTTGACACATTCTTGTTTAACCTCGCTTTTAAAACTAATCAATAATCATCGATAGTTTAATTAAAGTTTTAAATTTGCATAATTTCTTGATTGTAATAATTTTCTCCATTTTATAACGCAATTTATTTAATTAGTATAAATTTAATTTCCGATTTTTGTAAATATTTTTATGACTAATCCCAGAGAACAACCATCATAGATTCTTAGTCTATAATAATAACATGCAATAAAGTAGAGCGTTTGCATTACGCGAATGTACTCATGGAATCTAAAAAAGGAATTGATGGAAAAATGTCACGTTCTACTATTGATAGCTCGATTCTTTTCAGTCCTGGAAATATTATAAAGTATGAAACCAAATAGTATCATAATAGTTTGCATAAAAAGTTATATCTATTGACAACTTAAATAAACCTTATTTTAAGAAATTTTCTTATCGTTTAGTAATCATTAGTTTCACACAAGGTTTTTATTCTATCACTTTATTAAGATTTTTCTGTTTGTAGAAATTCCATTCAGAGAAACGTTGGAAATCCAAAGGAAGTAATTGTTGAAGCAGGAAACAGAATTGGAGATAAGGTACAAGGCGAAACAATATCATTTTTTGGAAATAGTAATTTCTCACGTTCTATCTCGAACTCTGAAACTGCATATGATGAATATGAAGAAGACAAAGATTATGTACGTTGGCAATTACCGAAGATGAAAAAATTACCAACTCTCTCATCCCTAGTACGTTTTCGTTATGTTGATTATTTATCTAGAAAAGAGCTATAGAATTAGATGTATTTAAAACATAATTATTGGACTTTTTTAAAAAAAGAAAAATATTTGTTAATAATTTGCCAATTTTACTTTTGAATATAGCATACTTTTTTATCATCAGTACTTACATGATACCTTTCATGCGTTCTAATATATCAATGAAAGAATAAAATATTTATATCATAAACGAATTTTTTTAAAATTTATATATTATTTATTTAATAGTGTAATATTGTTTTATCAATTTATTTTTTTTATATTTAAATAATTGCAAACCAGTACATAATTGATAAAGTATTTATATAATGATATTTACAAATAATAAAAATGTATACATAATTTTATACATTATATATAGAATTCTAAATATATCTATATTTTAATAAGAATTAATGAACTGTGAAAGGTAAATGTATATGTATATTAAATAAGATTAAAGCAAAACTTCTTATAAAGACTGTTTAAATTAATCCAAATATGTTTTTTATAGAAATAAAAATTGTATTATAACTTCAATATGTATTAATTTGTTCTAGCTACATGCATGGAGTGCGATACAGGTAATTCTGCTCCCGCAACACTGTACATTTTAAAAATAAAATTATAATTTGCTCTTCCATGGTTGTTTTTTCTTCCAATATTTTTCAAGGTTTATAAATATCGTAGGATGTTATATACACAATGCGAAATAATGCAGCTAGAATAATGAACACTTTATTTCGCAGGTATCAGTTGTTGCACTTTACACATAAAAATTTTATCGAAGCAAAGGATAATTACATCGTTCGATCAATTTAGCCTAAATCTCTAGAAACTGAAACAATGACTAAAAAAGCACTTAAAGCGTTAGAAAAAGAGCAAGCGGCATCTGCAGCCGCTGAAGCTGAAAGAATTAGGTATGAGTTTAGACAATCAATTATAGGAGATAACAATTAATTAAATCTGATTACTTAAATTACACAGTAAATGAAATATTAACACAGAAATGTCAATAATCAACGCCCGTTAATTAATAGTAACGGACGTCTATATAATGTATTATCAATTAATCTATTTTAGTAATTTTTTAAACTATCGAGATTTAATTAAATTAATAAATTGATTAATAAAATATGTTAATACAGAAAATAATTACTCACATTATACTTTGAGCTTTTTCATTATTTTGTTAATAAAATATTTTTAATCAAGAATGCAGATGATTAAAGATATGCAGGAAGAGATACGATTAGAAAAGTACAATACGGAGAGACAAATATTGCTCGATGAACGCGAGGCAGCAATGCGAAAAGTTCAATTAGAAGAGACATTGTCCGTGCTTCACGATTACAAAAGTGCATTTATGAAATACTTATTTGCCTCCGAAAAAGAAGAAAATGTAAATGTTATCTTTTCTTATTTGTATACTTATAATACGAGGGTCATTTGAAAAGTTTTGAGCCTCAACATGAAGATGGTATTACTCAAAACTATTCTGGTACTACAATCGTACATGCTTTGAAAGATACCTGTGAAAATTGTAGCCATTGTGGACGCTCAGTTGTTGTTTGACAGTCATTTGTGCCAGTCGATGTCAGTGATTTTGTAAAAATGGAAAAAATCGAATATACATTTTCAAGGTTCTATTGGAACGGTTTAAGCGAAACGAGTCGGATTTTTTATGTTGATTAATAACTGTTGATGAAACTTGGATCCACTACTTCACTCTTGAGACGAAGAAACAGTCAAAACAGTGGATTACATCCGTAGAAGTCTATTTTGCAGAGTAAGACGCCAGTTATTATTTGAATGGGTTAAAGGGATGGGAGCATCGCTGGGAAAAGTGTATCGACTTAAAAGGAGACTATGTTGAAAAATAAAACTGAATTTTTTGACCAAAAAAATACTTGTTTCTATGTTAGACTCAAAACTTTTCAAACGACCCTCGTAAATAATTATATAAGATGCTTATATGAAATACATATTTTTCTTTATTATATCTAATATACATTTTTTTGCATATGTATAGTTATTAATACTTTTTTAAATCATTTAACTATTTATTCTCGGACAACAAACATTGAATAACAAATATTGAATTAAATACGAATTATAATTGTATTAAACAGGCTTGTAACTCACATAAAAAAAGCACATTTGATAATATCTCTAATTATAACTAATTTATTATTTTCAGTGGACTAGATATATGACTTGCGACGGATTGCCAGATCCTGGCAGTTTGTCCGAAATGAATACTTTTTTATTTTTATGGTCTATGGAAGACGAAAAAGTTAACATGAACAAATTTATTACGAAATTCAATATCATTATTTATGTACGTAAATTTGAAATAATTAAACCAATTAATAATACAATTATTAATATTCTAATGCAATTAAAAGCAAAAAAATTTTAAGCTACAAAAGTACAATAAATACTTAAATAGTTAGATATTTTATATATATTATGGGCAAAGTCTGCAAATAGGTAATGTCGACATTGACCACTTACGGACTTTGCCCGTAACATATACATTAATATGTCACAATCAATTTAACAAAGATGAGAGATAATATTTATAACGTTTTGTTTTTATTCATCATGAAAATAATAATTACATATTTTCCTTTACAGCTGTTGACGAAACTCAACGAAATAATAGAATTCTCTTTAATTAGCTCACCAGATTATAGAATCGAATGCAAGATGGTGATAATATATTAAATTCAATAATATTATACGCAATCGATTATATGCAATACAATTATATGCAATCAACTTATTATATGTGATTCTTAAGTACATAAAATTTTAATATTTACGTAAGTTAAATGCTTAACAGATTAGACAGCGATTTCGTGAAAAGCTTCAAGAATGGATAAATGCAGCGTGTTACTCTCTTTTGCGTCAGATAGACAGGGATATGGTTCGCGAGAGCATAAAAACAGCAAGATACACTAACATTTCCGATCAAATCAGTTGTTGTATTTGGGTCTTGATAAAATTGCCTGTTCCACTTCAACAAGTCACCGAAAAAGATAGGTACGTAGTAGCATTTAATATAACTTTGCATATACATTTATAAGAACAAATATATTTTTTGCGAAATAATACATAAACGTGACATATCAATTTAATTCACTATTGACTTTAAGCTAGAACTAAATTATTTCGACAGAAAACCTATTGAAGTTTATTTCAAGGAAATTGAGCTGACTGTTAAAATGCCTTTAGACATTGATTGTTATTGTATGGCAATACGAGCATTGTGGGTAAAGTATGATCATTACTCTGATTCTTCGAGATCGTATATTATGCCAAAACTTCCAGAAGAATATGAAAGCATGTATACCATAGGTACAAATTATAATTTGTTTACGAATTTTATTCTTTAATTTATTAGTTTGAGTAAGAAATGACGTGTTAACGCTAAGATATTAAAATAATATTGTATAGAATTATAAAACAATTTGTTAGAAAAAACAATTAAAAATAAAATTAGCAAAAGATATAAGTTAATAAAAATTACCGGTTTTGATATATAAAAGTAACAATGACGAGAGAGAGAGAGAGAGAGAGAACAAGTTTTATTGCTTTCCAGAAAATTATCGTACGTACATATACAATATATCTATATTTATATAGGGTGTTTCAGAAATAGTTGGCCAAACTTAAAGAGCATATTCCACTCATTAAAAGGATGAAATAAAGTCATATAAACATGTGGGTTCAGAAACGCTATAATATATATACATATATATGTATACACATCCGATCTATACCGCTAAGTCGATAATTAGATGTGCACAGTCGATAATTTTCTCATAGGGTAAAAAGCTGGTTCAACGACTCTGATTTACCCTGTATGTATGTATGTATATACAAAATATATATATATATATGTGAAAATTGAAAAGTGTCGTATGAAAGTTTTATGGGTGCAGTAAAACTCGTAAAGAACCATATTATAAATACCTTTATTTTTGTAAAAGAATATGAGTTTATTAAATTTTTTGTTTTTATATATGCTTCAGATTTTTTAACCTATTGTCAAAATGAATATACTACGAAATTAAAGATACGTGAAGAGCAGGTTGAAGGCCGTCGCCTTCGATTGGAAGAAAAAAATGCTGTACTTGAGAAAATGGAGAACCCGCCAGTTCTGGTACCTACAAAGCCCGAAAGAAAAGGAAAACAACAAAAAAAGCCGGAACGAATTCAAGGAGCGAAACGTCCAGAGCAAGAACAAGAATCAGAACAATTATCTTATCTGCCTACACCAGATGAAATTATTTTACAAAGAGAAGGTACAGTTCTCAATCGTGTAGTTCCCAAAAACATGTCGTTGATACATTCATTGAAATTTTGAATTCTTTATTAAAAATTTATTATTATACTTCAACATATGTTAAAAAGATAATGGGTACTTAAAAACATGTTAAAATGAAATACTTTCTACGCTGTATTTAGTATACCATAGCATTATAATATAAATGTAATAAAAATAGAAAAATAAAAGAAAGAAGCTAAAAATTTCATTTAAATGCTTTTCTGGTTAAAAGATTGAAATCTCTAGATGTTCAATTTCACAGAAATTAATTCTTCTTTACATTAATTTATTTTATTGTGGATCCTGTTCTATCTTAAAATTAATGTAATAATGAAATCATTTTAGTAAATGTTCATTTTTCTTGTTTTTAGATGAAACTCGAAAAGAAATTAGAAAACTGCTATTCACACGCTGCGAAAAGACAGAGATAAATTTACGAAAATACAGGATACTTGGTGGCGTTTTACACATCGATTTAGTTTATCAGCCACCGCAACCAAAGGATATGAAAAGAGATACTATGCTTACCACATGTAAGCAATAATTATTTTGATATTACATATTTGTATTGTCAACGTTGTCATTTTTTAACATTATTTTCTTTGCAGTGCAAATTCCTAAAGAATTAAAATCTGTACAATTTTACAAGCCATATAAAGCGCCACCTCCGGCACCGGATTCTGAAAGAACACCAGAAGTAATCGAAGCAGAAATGAAAGCTTTGGAGGCCGCAATGGAGGCATTGGCTCTAGTAACTTTAAAGTATATTTTTTTGATAAGTTAATTATGAATAAAAATTGGATACAACAATAGTAAAATATAAGTAAAAAATTATTAGTATACCAACTTAGTTCGAAATGGTTTCTCGAAAAGATATCTCGACGTCGAAAATAAGTTTAACATTTTCAAAATTTCTGTTGCTATCAATAAATTTTTTACTACAAATTGGATTTCTACTACAATTTCAATTAATTTTTGAGTTGGAAATCAAAACAAGATTGATTCGATCTTTAAACAAAAAAATCTTCAGAATATAAGATTTATGTATCACACATATGTATACAGCAAAATATTGAAAAATATATCAAGTTCTCATTACATATTTCCATTTTTCTATACCTATACACAATTTTTTATCACTCTAAAAAGTATTGAAATTTCAGTGCAAGTTTCGAATCGACAACTTTTTAATCTTAACGATCTCGAAACGATATTTCAATGAACTATTTTATTATGTTTTCGGATAAATAATTAAAAAATCAATAGTTTTAACGAAGATGTAACACAGTATGATTCAAAGAGAATGGACTGCGCGATCCGTATCTAAGTAGTATTCAAATGTGGTCGACAATAATGAGAGAGAGGGATCATGGAAGACAGCCAATCTCCCTTTCATTCTCTCTCCAATTACATTGTTGGATGGAAAAAGATAGAGATGGCTGTCTTCCACGGTCCCTCTTTCTTACTTTTATCGACCATTTTGACACACGGATCGCGCAATCCATTCTCTTTGTCTTTGGTATAACCTAACCAAAATGTAATGCAGTATGACGAATTATATTTTTAAGAACAGAATAATTATATATAATAATAATATGTAATATTATGATTATATATATTTATATATAATTAATATTAGAATACTGTACACGTCTTTTTAAATAAATAAAAGTTTTAAACTTTATGGCCCTATTTATATAAAATTTTAAACATTTTATATAAATTTTAAACTTTATGCTGCTATATATATATAAAATTTCTCATTTCTAATTGTTTAACATACTTATATCGAATCATGTTTCATAAATTATATTTTTACAGACTTCCCAGCTCTATTATTTGGTTTGAACCACCATTAGTGGCACATTGGATACCTGAGAAGAAAATATGGTCTACACAGGATGTACACGATATAAAATACAACGAGGAAAAGCAAACTATCACGTTTAGGACTGGCAGATTAGGTGTCCATGGTCTCGCAACCTTTAAATTTATTAACATCCCTTTCCAAAGTTGGGAGCTCAAGCCTGAAATTAGCAGAAACGTACGCGGTGGTATTGTGCTCAATGTGTCCGCTGCCATCGTTCAAGCAGAATTTGTAGTCAGGGTATTCTATTCTTAAAACTCTTATCAAAATTATTTTCAGCTAGATTAATTAAATACATGAAATACAAATACATAAGATACAAATTTCGTAAAAATGGCGCACACAAAAACGGAAAGTTAAATATGAAATGTTCTATGTAAAAAATAATACAAAATGTTAATGATTTTTCATAACTTTAACAAATATTCCATAAGGTATAATACCATTTAAAAAAATTTATTTTATAAGGTCTATGTAAAACATTATTATTATTCTCAAATGAAAAAAGTTCTATTCGGTCATCGGAAGGTGGATTTTAATGTTTAATAATAGGGGAAAGTGGGTGAATTGTGCGCACCTAAGGGAAATTTGTTGTTTTGGAATGGTTTTCCAAGTTCAAAGCGATATAAATATGGAAATAGAAACTATAAACATTCTTCTACCATTATGTATCCTCATATTGAACAGATTTTCATTCAATAAAGTTGTATTTAGCAAAAAGGAAAAAAACGGAAAAGCGAAAAAATTTCTCGTGCGTCGGGTAATTGTGCGCAAAGCAAAAGTCATAGGAAATGAATGAATTATGGAATGTTGACAAAGAAATCAGAAAATATATTTATTATATTGCAATATAAATATATATTACATATATTAAGCAAAAATACAAAACTAACATAATAATAATGCACATAGACTTTGGCAAAATAAAATGGCAAAATAAAATAATAATACAAAGAAAAAACGAAAAAATTAGTGCTAGTCGTATAATATATGAAAGATGGGTAATTGTGCGCATTTTAAAACGCTTGCGCACAGTTGCCCGCCGCGACCTGACTCGATATGAAATACGATTTACTTCAATATTTCTTAACCATACTTAATAAATAACAGCTCAAAAGACGCACATAATAACATACTTTAATAACGTATGCAACTTTAAACAAACAAATTAAAAATACGGTCTTACCACCTTATTTGAATACTCAAATAACAAGAAAAAATGTGATTTCACTTTTTTGTATTTCTCTAGTTAGGTAGTAACGTATTTACATCGTATCTTTTGTAGTTATATCTTAAGAGGACTACCTCCTGCATAAAAATTTCACCACAGTGATGTCGTCATTTATTGGAAAAGTACCAAATCAGAATGCGCACAATTACCCACTGCGCACAGTTCCTCCACTTTCCACTACGTTGTATTTTTACAATTCCTAATTCAAACTACGCGCCGATTACTTATTGTCGGTCTTGAAATACAGTTTTAAACCGAAGCTGAAGACTACGTAATATTACAAATAAAATTGACAAGCAATTTAATATTATTGATGCTGGTAAGTATCTTTAAAGCACTGTGAATAATTTATTGCGAAAAATATCAGCCGGGATTTGAAGACTGATGAATAATCAGCGCACAGTTTGTTTGAACTGAAAATTATAAAAATTTACGCACGGAGAGAATTTTTTCTTAGAGTTTACCCTGAAAATATGATAGTCGTGGGACAACATTGTATTTCGAAGAATTTTAATGTAAATGTCTCTCATTCATTGATAAAACTATAATAAAGTAAGTTTAATTAATTTTACTGAAATGCATGGTAAAAATCTTTAAAATATTATATTGTACTACAATTTTTTTTTTACCATGTTTTCAGGATAAATTTTAAAAGAAAATTCTCTCTGCATAATATATTATTAGGCACTAAGACTAACTTTACCGAATATGGCTTTCTCATTTATTTATGTTGAATATTTTTCGATTTATTTTTGTCTAAAATATCTAATTATTGTTATTTTGATTATGTTAATATATTTGATAGTTCTTTATTTTCGTAGGAGGACTTGGTCTGCTTAAATTCGTTAGCTGGAGGTATGTCAACGGCACTTAAAGAGATTATTGGAAAATATATGAAGCTGCATATCTTGATTGAGGTAAAAATCGTCAACTTTTACAAGTGATTTGTGTTTATAATAATACGAAAATTGAAATAAGTAAAATTTTGACTAATATACTACTTTTAACGTATAGAGTTAAGAACTATTTAAATAATTTCTTTTGTATGATAAATTACTCTTTTTTTTTCTAACAGAAGATGCGCGATGCTGGATGCGATTTGTTTCCAGAGCGAGACGCTTTCAGTTTTCTTCCGATAAAACATCCAGTAACTGAGAGGCATCTACGAGAATGCATGGCTTTACTTTGCACAGCATATACATTCTCCTGGTCGCGCTGGAACGCTAGTCGACATTCAAGAGAAATCGTAATACAATTCAAGGAACTCCACGGATGTGTTGCAAAAGAGGTCGGACATTAATTATTTTGCCTTTATAAAAAATATAAAATAGTACAATAATGTACGAAAAGCTATTCCTAATATCGCTTAAAATTAATATAATTACTTTAATTTTATTTTTCATTTATTTTTCACTTTTTAATAAAACTAAAATTAAAAAGACAAAATATTGTTTACGTACGTGTGAATGTTAATTTATAAAAAGTATTAATTTTTATTGTACTAAATAATATAAATTAGAATAAAAATTTTTAAATGTCTTATTTTATTTTACAGCGATCAAATTTAACTCTTTTGGTAACTCCTTTGAAAACAGTGATAGTATCCTGCACCGAAGTGAGCTCGGAATTTTCCAATGTACCGTTAGATGGTGAGAACTCGAAGGTAATATAAGATCGATTTAATAAAAATTTTGAGAAATCAGTTAACCAGTTATTAACAATTTATTTTAACAGTTTCAATATATAAATGTGCATATATATGTAAGTGCGTATGCACTCTTAAAAGTGTAAAACTTTTATTTAAAATTTTTTCATGCATATCTTTGACGGTTTAAATGATATATCAAATATCTCTTTATAATAAAGAAAATAAGAAATAGTGAATAAGAGACACAAATTTATCTTAAAGAATAAACAAAATATATAAAGAATAATATACTATAAATGTTTTTCTAACAGTTTTATGCTGATCTTTATCACTTGGCACTAAAGGGCGCTGGAATCAAAAGCCATATATTAATGAAAAATATCTCTTTCAAACTTGTCAGTACCGTCGCAGAACTTTTAGGTCGCACTAATGTAATCAACATGTCATCTTAAAAATTAATTTTAATCAAACAAACAAGTAAATAGCATCTTTTAGTAGATGTATTCACAGACTCACTCACATGTATTCACTCGTATAAAATTTCCTTTATCGTAATGCTATTAAAACGATTTACAATAACTATTATATGTCTTTGCATTATATTTTTTGAATTAATCAAATATTATTATTAAATATTTTTCATTAAATTTTTTACATATAATATAATGTAGTAGAGTAACTCCGGCAAATACGCCGCAGAAATCAGAAAAAATAGAAGGAGTGGGGGTAATTTTCCCACAACTACTCTGTTACATGCCTTTATGTTATATTAGTATTGTGTTATAATTTCAGCCTCTTACTGTTAATATTAATGAAATTATTGTGAGTTGAATCGATTTGTCACTGTAATAAGTAGCGCCATAAATTATAATCTACATAAAATGATTACTGTAGGGCGTGTAAAAGACTTAGTGGTTATTTCGTAATACATACGTGTAGAGAAATAGTAAAGCATGTTGTGTATAGCAAGATATAAGTGCTTTGCTTTCGTATTCTTTGTTTAGTTAGTTGTCTTGTATTTTATATCCCACCTATTTGGGATATACGACATTTTTAGCGGGCGGGATTTATGCCCAAAGTGCGCAGATTGAATTCAATGCACTAAATGCAATAAACGCATTGCATGAAATATATACCTCATAACACTTGTAATATATATAGGAAGATTGTAATTATTATTTATTACTTCATATACATATTTATCATTCTTATTCCTTAATAAAACTTTATAAATGCATTTTATAAGTTACTGTGTCATTTTATGTCTTATTTATAAGCATTATTTATAAATTTTTCATGAGCCGTACATACTCCCCTCTTCCTATGAGTAGCCATATATCCCACTCTTATAGGATATGTATGGCAAAAATGCAAGGGTTTCAAAAAATTCATTTTTTAATACGAAAAATAAATATTTCCGATTTCTAATATTTTTTTCATAGTAGTAGACAGAACAAAATTTTTACTGGTATAGTTCGTTTACTTTAAACATAATAAATAATACTTAATAAATTAAGTTTTTGATAGATGCGGCGTATATACCGGAGTTACCCTATATTCTTTTATAATATTTACATTAAATGAACATAAAAAAGCTGTTGAAAATGGACATATCGTATATAACTCTTCACTTTCTTGCAAAGATATGTGAAGTTTAATTTAAATATGATCTGTTAGAATAATTACTACTTATATTAGATTATATTATTAAGTTATATACTAAGAGTAGATTATAAATATTAAATTAAAATCAATAAAAAAACAATAAATGGCAAAAGCGAAATTGCGTATTGTTTGAGAGAGCTTGCGGAGCGTCATTTGCCGAAGCATTAAATGAAATAAAAGTGTTTAGATATAGAGATTTTAATGTCAAAGTTTAATTGTAATAAATATTTTTTTCATTTCCAACTACCGATTTTTTTCTTCACATCGATATTTCAAAATTTCTATTTTTCTAAAATATTTGAGGATTCTTGTCCGATATGATGACTTTCAAGGTAAAAGTCTCCACTTGAAAGTCATTTATATGAACTTTTTTACTTGAAATAAACCAAAGAATAGCTCTGTTGAGTATGGCAACATACTTAATTAACACCCTGTATACATAAATGTGTATAGTATTTAACTTTAAACACTTGTTTCTGAAATATTTTGATAATATAATAAGTCTAACTTTATAATATTATAAAATTGCTGATTTATTTATATTGCATATCTATTAAATCATAATCTATGATAATCAAGCACATGTATCACTCAATCTTCGAAAAAAATATTTTATTTATTCTCAATTAAAATATATTTTTGTTTATAGTCTTATTATGTTCTCAAAATATTTCAAAAATGAATGTTTAACGTTTTAACATATTTTTAACATACTTTAACATTCTTTTACCATTATACATAATATAATGTAAAAAAATAAATCCGTTGATATATTATCCATAACAATAAATCCGTTGATATATTATCCATAACAATCCAATAGAAATAGCAATTTCCACTATTGTCACCAACAGATATACTCTAAACATAAAATAAATGCAATTAATGTATTTACATATTTTATACATGTACTTTATTTAATATTTTTACCTTTTACTACGTGCTCTGACTGTATCCAGTCTATTCATATCTTCATAAAGAAGAAACTTTTTGAAACCAATTGTGCAATTCCTTTGTATTGTAAAATAAACATTTATTGGATTTAAATTATCATCATTTTAGAACTATACTATAAATAACAAATTACTATTTTACTATTTAGAATTTAAAAAATTATAATATACTCACTTCAGGTACCCTCTAATATCGTAACCAATATGTTCGAAAGAAAATGTATCTCTATCGTCAGATGGTATTGAGGATATTAGTACCAACGAATTTGTATTACTGAATTTCCAGTTATGAAACGAAAAATAACTCACTGCAAGATTGGCCTCATACAGTTGTCTTTGCAGTCGTAAGAACCTAATTTGCATATATTAATATTCATTAATATAAAATGATTTAGTTAGCATTTTTTTATAACAAACTTATAACACAATTTCAATCATATTGTTGAGACTAAAGATTCAGAATCCACAAAAAAGTGGATTTGAAAATAACATGTACATCTTTACAGATATATTATATGTATATAAATACGTATGTAAAAATTTACTCCTAAATGTTTAGAGAAAATTGAAGGTAGACGAAGAGAAAATAAACGCAAAATGGGTTTTTAATTAATTTATGAGAAAAAATATGTTTTTGCTGAAAATGGGGAGTATTTAGCTGTTTCAGTTGCGGTGTATTTAACGATTGAATCAAATATATTATAAAATAATTTGCACTTACTAAATTAACTAAATATTAATTTTAAATCTTACACGGGTCGTCGTCCAGAGAATTTTAAAATTAAATCCATTAATGTAGCTGGCAGAACGTGCAATAATACCGTTAATATATAAAACAGAATAAAATTATCGGTCACTATTGTATTAGGAGTCCAGACAGTTCCTTCCAAAGGTATCTCATCAGTCATAATACTGAGAAAGAACTTAACACCATCTGGATGTGTTAGATGCTTTTGACTTGTACAGTTTAAAATAGTTAATGTAGAATTTACTGTAAAGCTAATAACAATAAATAAAATTTTAAATAAATTAATAAATCGAAAAATTAATTATAACAGCAAATTACAAAAAATTTTGTATGTCATTTTTTATCAGCGATTTGAATTTTAAAAATAAGACAAATATTTGCGAAATTTCAAACTGTACAAAAGCATATAAAATATTATTAAATAATGTTAGTCAGGATTGGATAAGTTAAAGTTAACCTTTTTTTACTATAATATAAGTTAAAGTTAACATCTTTAATAATTTAACTCAAAGAAAATGTAACAATCACTCTTTTGAGAAGAATTTAGATGTCGAAATTCTTATTTTAAATATTAAGTAAATATTATCTTTAAATGATTATGTAACATAAATATTACATTATATAATACTAATAATATCTGACTCTATAAGTTTGTATTTGACAAATATTTTTTTTTAGATTTAACAAATTACATTAAATAAGATGCATACGAACATATTGTAAACATGGATTCATATAATTCCGAATAAAAAAAACTTTCATACATATTTATAACGTATTATAGTTAAAAATGCATATATATGATCATACATGGTTAGTCCTAACTTCCAAGTTACGACTATTATTGCTTTGATGACAATATCTACGGATACTATGTTTATACAAGCTTTAGATAAGCAACATACTCGTATTAATGCTTTTCCAACACCAATCATAAGTCCTATTGGACCATAAATGTTATCTATCCAGTCTGGAATTGGTTCTTTTAATGATGGCATCACTAAAATATAGAAAACGTTTGTTAGCCTATTATTATAACAAATTTGGTCACTTTTATCACATTAGATTAGGATGTATTAAAAATTGCTATACATGCTATATGAAATTAGCAAAGTTACATGTAAAAGCATATGGACATTTTATATTAACTTATATGATTATAAATACTTAACAATGTTATTGTCACGTTATTTAATAAAAAATTTATATGTATTATTTTATTGTCAAAGTTAATTATATTATGCCATTTTATTTAGATATTATACCATTTTATTTAGATATATTATAAACTTTATATAGTAATATTTACTGTGCATTAATTCAATATATTACAAGAAATCAAATTCATCATTATATTATTACTTTATCAAGCCTGTCCAATTGAGCTCCAGAGCCAAAACGCAAAGCCATCGACGCAAAAAAAATTCAGTGTAAGATTTTGGGGACTGTAAAATGTTGATACGCATCTGAGTGACGCTTATCAACACTTTACAGTCCCCGAAATCTTACCCACATTGAATTTTTTTGCATCGATGGTTTTGCGTTTTGGCTCCGGAGCTCAAATTGAACAGACCTGTTTTATATCACTAATGTTATCAAATTTGCCCACCAATATCCAAAATCAAACGAAAAAAACTATAAGACGCTTTAAACACAGCTTTATTTTCTGTATATTTTAATTTTTTATAAGAAACATTAAGTATGTTAATTCATTTATAAGTAAGAAGATTTGTAAAAGACATGAATATTTAATTATTTATATTACATAATCGTAATCATAAAAATAACCATAAAAATATCTATTTTAATATTATATTAAAACTTAAAATAATATACATATGTGTGCGTTTTCATTCTTTTTACTTGATACTTTGTTATCATCTCTACAAAAATTGAACTCTATCAATATAAGACAATGTAAAACAAAATAATGGAGACACAAATATTTTTCATAATAACGTATTAAAATTTTATTCCTAATAATTAAAAAAGAGGCTACATACCAATGGAAGGTCTTATAATCGCACAAGGCAAAGAGGAAGAATATTCCTGTATTATACTTTCCGCTAAATTTTTTGAGAAAATATACGTATTGGGAAAGTAATCCAAAAATCTATACGTAATTTCAAATATATTTGATATTTAGATTTGAATAATGATTTAAAAAATGATATAAATAAGCATAACAAAAGTTTTAAGGAAACAAAAAGAATTTTCTTAATATATATATATAATCTAATTATATTTATGAAATTTATCACGATTTCCATTTGTAACTTACTTAGCTGTAAAAATATTTAAAGTATGCTCATCCAAAGTTTCGGCCATTTTGATTATCTTTTGCCAGTCAGTTACAGGTGGATACGCTTTTTCTCTAATAAATGGCTCATTTACGTGTGTAAACGCTGTACTAACGTGCACCAATGCCTTCAACACATAACAACAATTCATTTGAAAACTATGTTTCCCAAAAATTTGCTTTGGCATAAAAAAGTTTGTATTATAACGATAGGTAATTATATTATAAGTTTATATTAGTGTTGCTGCATTATGGTATTTCAATTATATTTACTTTTATCTAAATTTATTTTGTTTAAACTATTATTAATCTTGAAGGATACGTGTTACAATAATTATTTCAGATAATTCGTGATTAAAATACACGAGTTATTAAAATATTACTGCAATATATAAAATGAGCCATGCAGCATAAGCTAAATTTTTCATAAATACATATGTGTACAATCGCAGCTACTCTCTTTTCGGCTTACAATTAAATTCTTCATATTTTGCGCTAAAATACAGATATCTCTTGTTGCTCTAGTATTAGCAAATATGGCGTTCTTCAAACTATTACTTAATTTTACATCCCCCGCTGCATGTATTATTATAGTCACTCTTTCAACCAGCATTTGTTTGTCCTCAACAGATAAACCTAATTCTTTCTCACTGATATTACCAGAAATTGGAATTAATTTCTCAAAGTTTGAAGGGCGCTCTTTGCGCAGTTTTTCGTATAACTAAAATAGGATATTCTAATTTAAGAAAACATTTTTGTTATAACATTTATACATACATATTAATTTCTACGATGTAGCTGTTAAATAAATTTGCAACAAATAGAACATTTAATGGCATTTGCGACAGGTTTACTTTAAGCATCCCAATTATTTTTTGCATAATATTTATTTATAAAACTTTAATATTGAATATAAGATAACTTTCTTTAATGATGACATTGCAATACAAATCATTTCTAAAGAATTTCTGTTGACAAACATTTAAATTTGTTAATATAATATTTTAATGTTTTAAAAATTTTAACAATATCATGCCGTGCATTGTTATAAACAGGGAATGGAAAATTACTTTTTAAAAATAATAAGTTACAGTTACTCGTTACCGAGTAAAAAAAGTAACAAGTTACCGTTACTAGTTACCGATTTTTAAAAGTAACAGTTACCGTTACTTGAGAAAGTAATTTTTCGTTCTTTTCTGTTACTTTTTTTAAAATCGACGACCGCCAATCACAGCGGATGGATCTAGGGGCTTTCTAGTCTCAAGCGCAATGCACTGTAAAAAAATTTTTATGTAAAATTAAACACAATATTAAAGTAGATAAGGCCCTGCGCACAATAAAAGAAATAAGGAATTAGGAATAAAAAATAAACGATTTCAACCTATCAGAAACCGTGTATTCCGATGTATCCAATTTCTGATAGGTTAAAATCATTTATTCTTTATTCCTAATTCCCTATTTCTTTTCTTTGAAAATGAACAATCCACTCAAAAATATTCATAGCGGAAAAACGAGTATTGAAAACGGACAATTCACTCAAAAATACTCATGATCATACTCACGTATACGTTTCTCGTTTATCAGCGGAAAAACCAGTATTAAAAACGGGCAATCTCCTCAAAAATACTCATACGCATACTCGTTTATACTCGTTTATCTTTACGATATATCGCGAGTGCTTGTGAATGGAACAAAAAGGCAGGAACGGACTAAAAACGGGCTAAAAACGGGCTAAAAACGGATTAAAAACGGTCCATATGAGATCCGAAAACGGTGAAAAGTCTTTATAAGGGTACCGTTACCAAAAAAATGTAACTTCGTTACCATTACAGTTACCAAAGAAAAAAAAGTAACGCAATAAAGTTACCAAAAAAGTAACTTATAACTGTAACTTCGTTACAAAAGGAACGAGTTACTTCCATTCCCTGGTTATAAATACTCCAAAAGACTCCGGGTGAGACCCGTTTGACCACTTTGCGATTGTCCACC